AGAATGTTTGACGATATTTGCAAAGTCTTTATATGCTTCGAAGCCTATTTGATGTTTTGTAATCCATAAAAATATTAAAAATGTAGTAAGATTTGGAAAATATGGTCCGGTATGTCTAGTATAATGATTATGTTTCTTATTGCCATCATACTCTCTTCCAATGGACTCTTTATCAGTATCTTGGTTATTGCTAGAACTGTCATTGTATGGTTCATCATTTATGGAGGATTGGTAATCATTTGGAGAGAAGTCATTTGAAGAGAAATCATTTGAATAGAAGTTGTTTGGAGAGAAGTCGTCATTTGGAGAGAGGTTGTTTGGAAAGAAGTCATCATATTCATTTGGAGAAAAGTCATTTGGAGAGAAATCATCATTTAGGTGTATCTGTGGCGACGAAGCCCTATTTTCTTCAAATATATGGTTCATAGTGTCGACTTTGGTATTTGTAAAAGAAGAGGTTATATCACCTAAAACAATACTGTCGAATTTTAGGTTCGTAGAACTTTTCATACAAGTGCGTTTAGGTTTACGCAGACAAAAATCAGATTCTTGATATTGTTTGTAATCAGCTTTGGTCTGCTTTAGATTCATATTAAGAAGAAAATTTAAAAATTTGAGAAAGAAGTTTAGCAAACTTATTTTTTTTTCTTAGCATTGTTGGCTAAAAAACTTATATTTGACATTGATTATTATCACTAAATTGAGCTTAAACTAAATTGAGCTTATAAAATTGGCTTGTGCATCACAGGATGATCTACTAAGAATTGACGCCATATTACATAATTACATGTGATAAAAAATATATATATATACAGTACATTTTTTAACTTTATTTTTTTTTCTTATTTTTTTTTCTTCTAATATGCCTTATAAAAAAAAATCTGTCCCAGAACATCCTAAAACGAGGGCTACTAGATCTAAACTTAATTCTAAAACTGGTGAAAACTCTTCAACTACGTCTACAACAGGTTCGAAATTTAGCACGATCATTGAAGACGCTGATTTAGAGAACACAACTATCAAAGATATCGATTCAGAAGAAGTGTTTAAGCCAAAAATCATAAGCCCAGAAAAAAGAACAGGTATATTGTAATGGTGAGAATGATTCAACAACCTATACAATAAGAGCATTAATGAATAGCAATAATTTACAGCAAAAAAGAATCTACGTGAAATTGACGATCTTAACGATGATATTTCAAATACGGGTTCTTTTGATTCTTTGATCTCGCCAAATAAATATGTAAAGCTGAATGATGGAAAAAGTATAATAACATTAGTTTAGGTGGGTTTTGCAAATGATAATATAAATTGACATAACAGAACTTTATAGAATCCACTAAAGAACATGATCAGGAATTACCTTTACGTAAAACCTCTATATTTCAAGTAAAGCCATTATTCGCCAATGTTTATGAATTGGAATCGATTGATAATACCAATAATATTACAACACGATCGGTCTCTTCTACGGATGAACAAAACACAGCATCTATGGCACACACTGCACCACGATCGGTCTCTTCTACAGATGAACAAAACATGGCATCTACAATATCTATCGATTGCATCGATTTTAATAATTTAGCACCAATGTTTACTGCATTTGTTCAAGCGATAAAATCAGGCACATTTTTACCAAATACGGGATATACATTATATATGCATTTGTAATCTATTATGGCTTCTGGTAATACGACTACTTCAACTATAATAAATAATAATGCACCCACTAATCAAATCCATAATAACACATCTCTGAATAATGTGAGTGTTTCAAATATTAAGGTATTTTACTTGCTGAATATGAAAATAACATTATAATTAATAAAATATTTCTCCAATTATATATTCTTTAAGACTCGACTTACATCCTTATTCATTAATGAATCAAAAGTTCTTTTTCTCCGTATTCGTAAGCCAACACCGGAACTGATCTTAGCACTAGCTAGGGAATGTGTAAGACATCTTGAAATTGCTGATATTAACGCTAGTGATACAAAGAAGAAAGGTTGCAGATAGTTCTCAATATGGAGGATACGATTGTATGATAGATGTACCCAAATTGCACTTGATTTCTTAGATGGTTATAGGTAAATATTACTTTATTATATTCTTTCAATTTTTTTTTTGAATACATATTATTAACTGTGATTATATAATTATACAGTGTATCCTTGGACAATCTTCCAAATTTGTCTCACCTTCGAAATTTTATGAGTACAGATGATATCACCAATATTTTTGAGCCACAATTAAAGCAAGTTAAAAGGGATCATTTTCTCAAAAACAAATCGTCTTGGAATTCTCTAAAAGAATATATTGTTGAAGTCATATTAAACATGATCTGTTTCTTTGTGCGTAAAAATGTTGACCATGTGATTTACAATAATGCTACGAAGGTCTAACAAGCAGAATGGCGAAATGCAATACTGGTTGATTTGCATGCTCTTGATCGTATTACAGTTGATATACATATTGTTTCTGAGAGTAGAATGACATTAGCACAAGATATAGATATTCGTAGTTATGTAACCTTGTAAATTCAATTTCACAGTATAGTTAGTTTTGCTGTGATATGCTTCAGTAATCATGCAAAATGTAACAATTCAAAAATGTAACCATTGCAAATATTGTTTCAATTTATTATCTTAATTCGATTTTATTATTAATAATGTAACTATTGCAAAATTATTACGATTTATTATTTAAATTATTTTAAATATATAATTTGCAATATTCTTAATATTCATTGTGTCATAGTACTCATAAATGATTACAATATATATAAAAACAATTTCAAGCTTTACAAAACAATGTTAATATTACAAAAATATTACAAAGGTATTATAAAAGCATATTAAAAAAAATGGGATTCTTAGCTAAGTAATCATAATAACTACATTAATAATACAGTTCATAATGTATATAGATTCTATATACCTATACTACTTGAACAAAAGTTTTGGGAATTCATATTTTATTAATTATTCAAAAATGTACATAATAAATGGGGCTAAAATTTTAACTACTATTAGTTAAACTATATACAAAACTAATATTTAGTTAGCCAGCCATTATTCTTAATACATGCCTCAATCCTGCGTGGTATACTTTCAATTAAATTTATTAATATATCATTAGGAATTTGATTCCATTCTTCTTATAAAGCATACTCCAATTCTTTCTCATTTTTTGCAGGTTTAGGACATTTTCTAATGCGCCTTTCCAGCTCTGACCACAAATGTTCTATGGGATTTAAATCTAGGGATTGACTTGGCCAATTTGCCAAAATTTTGATTTTTTTCATTTCCATTCACTTTTTAACATTTTTAGCGGTATGGACAGGGGTATTGTCACCTTGAAATAAATAACCTCATCTGTTAAAACTATTATTAATTAATAGAAGCAAATGTGACTCAAGTATTTGAATATAATCACGATGATTCATTTTTCCATTAACTTTTACCAGCGGTCCTAAATCTTTTCCTGAAAACAACCCCATATCATCACACTTCCACTATGATGTTTTACTGAAAGAACTATATTTTTAATATTAAATCTTATTTCGGAAGTTCTCCAAATATGACCTGATCCATTATTTTTAAATATTGTAAAATGGCTTTCATTACTCCAAATTACTGACTTCCATTTTCTAATAGACCAGTCTTTTCTTTCAATACATCAGTTTAAATGATTTTCTCTTTGTTTATCATTAAGAAGAGGTTTGAATGCTGGAATACGTAAAAAAATATTAAGTTCATGCAAATTTCTTCTTATAGTCTTGGTAAAAACTTGAATTCCAGCTTTCTCTTGAAATTTATTTTTTATTTGTTCAGCTGATTGGTGATTATTAGCTTAAACAATTTTTTTTAGTGTTTTTTGGTATTCACAATTTAAAAGTTTAGGACGACCACATCATGGCTGAGTTTTAAGACCTTTTCCTTCACAAAAGGTTTAAATAGTTCAGTAAACTGTTATTTTTGAAAAGTCAAGTGTTTTAATAATGTGGTTTCTTGTGATGCCACTTTTAAATAGACCAATAATTTGGTTGCATTCAGCTTCTGTTAAATGTGACATGATTCAAGGTAGTACAAAATCCTATTTTGCTGATTACATTTGATTTTATTTATAAATAAAAATAATAATTATATCATTATTTAGTAGATCATAAGCTATCACGTATTAAAATTTCAGCCCAAATTATTATGTACATTTTTGAAAATTAGGCCAAAATATGTTTTCCAAAACTTTTGTCCAAGTAGTGTATGTTTATTAAGAAAATTGACTAAATAGTCCTTCCTTTTGACTTAGCATTTAGATGATATATATTTGTTATCTATACTATATGGGTATGAGATAAAGTTTCAATCACATCCCATCTTAAATCCCATTTCTTAAACTTAAACTTTAATAAATAATATCATTATAATTAATGATTATAATTTAATGATATTTAGTTCATTAGCTTTATCTTATGTGATCAAGATATACAACCAGATCTCTATATAATCACACAAATGATTTCACTAAAATTAGTGATTATATAAAGATGTGACTGTAAAAAGGTTATCTTTATATAATTACAACTATATTATAATCAAATAGATAGTGACTATTTAGAGATTAAATTAATATTATTAAACTTTATATCATCTATTTATATGTCACATAATATATTTGTAAAGCAAGAAATATTAAAAAATAAAACACTGATTGTCATTTGTCAATTTATGTAATATAATAAATGAAAATCATCACATAACTAACAATTTCTACAATTTCTTTAATATGTAACAGAATTTATAAATATCATGATTTTTACAGTGCAGTTGTGAAAATTATTAATTCTATAAAATTAGCATTTGATATCATAAGAAATATTATTATGTACTTTATTCATTTGTTACAATTATTGCAATACAACTCTTTAGAAACTATAGTATAATCTTTATTAAATTATGTAAAAAAGATATTATCAGATTACATAATTTCCTATTTAATTTTCATAGCTACTAAAAAAATTAGTGATTGGAGCTTGCTTTCGAGATTAAACTTCAAGCTATTTTACTACATTTAAGTATTTTTTAAAGATATAATCATCTTCAATGTTAAATTTATTAATGGGCTATTGATCAAAAAGGTAATCCAAGTTTGTAAAGATTTGAGAGTTTTATTTAGAAATATTAATATTGGTTCTTCTTCAAAATCATCATTAGTATCATCATCTTCTTCATATATTTCCTTTTGGACTAATTGTATAATATCATCATTATTTAAAATATTTTCAGTTAGAACTTCTTCTAATTCCTAAAATAATCAGTCAATGCATTTTTGAATAAAGCATTATAAGAATCATTAATAAGTTTTTCAATTTCTTCTATTATTTAATTAATCTTAACTTCTTCATGATCCACTGAATTTTATTGGATTTGCATTATATTACCTATATCTTTAACAGTTAAAGAAGACAAATTTCTGATCTTTTTCTAACAGTTGTAAATAGTTTCTTCAGTTACTTATTTTCATACATCTACTAAATAATCGATTGCTTCTTTAATATTGATTTTCTCTTTATAAATATCTTTTCTATCTTCAAATAAGTTTAACATATAATGGCAAAAATTCCTCTTATAATAGTTTTTAAAGCTTACAATGATTCTATGTCAAGTGGCTAAAGATGATTTGTAGTATTAGGAGATAAAAAGGCCACCTCAATATAAGTTAATTGAAGTTGAGAGATATTAGAACCATCACGACCTCTATCACAACTTTTACTTAGTTTATCACCATGGTCTCTATCATAATCACTACTATAACCTCTACTTGGTTCATCATCATAGCCTCTATTACGACCTCTGGATTCACTTAGTTTACCATCACGATCTCTATCACGACTTCTAGATCCATTTAATTCACTATCACAGCTTTCTAAAGTTTAACCTCCTATATTAAAAAAAAATTCTAGTAAATTAAATATTTAACGATTATATTATATTTATTATGGTAAACAAATTTTTTTATTTTTTATTTTAATTTTATTATTAATTTATTTTTTTATTTCTTATTATTTTTTTTTCTTATTATTTTTTTTTTTATTTTTTTATTTTATTTTTTTTTATTATTTTTATTTAAATAATATTATAAATAAAAATATATATATAATATAAATTAAATAAACTAATAAACTAAATAAATGGTTTTGCAAAATTAACTTTCTGATAATCTGATAATAAACTTTATATCTAAAGACTAATTAATAAATAATAGATTTATAACTGATAATCCATTTTCTTTTATAAAAACTTACTAAAAGTTAATGCGAATTCAGTTTCTTCATTTATGCTATCTTCATCTCCATTTTGTTCATTTGATAAATTTAGATCAAAATGTGATGGAGCATTATCAATCAGAAGCAATTTTTTTTATTTTTTGCTTTAAAGTAACTATCTAATTTATGGAGTACTTCTTCAAAAATTATTGAGTTCATCTATACTTTTGAATTTTCACAGTAATAAACTGAAAGTTTTTTCATGTTAATTTTAAAAAAGGTTTTAAATACTTTGTGTTACCAATTATCCATGGTTTGAGCATATTAGTTCTTATTACATTTGTACTAAGAAGAATCATAATTCGTATTTTGTCTTTTTTCTCACTATAAACTGGCTTGATTGAAAGGTTTAATTTGAAGACATCTGATAATAAAGACCTATTTCATTAATATTGTAAATTTTATCAAGAGTATATTAGCTTAGAAGTTGATAAAGCCTAATTCTTTCTTCTGAAAGAGATGCTATTGGTGTATTTTCTGATTCTCTATATATTTTATACTGATAGATATTATTATATCTTTTGAAGCTATCTAACTAACCATTGGAGAATACCAACTTATCTTCTTGTACACTCTCCAGTCAAAAGTATTGGACCACGTGATTTTCGTTATACTAATTGGCGTAATTTTTGCCGATTATAACTTGTGATCTA